CACCACCCATACTAGTTTTCTTCCTATAATATAGACCCCAAAATACTATAATCCTTATTGTGGGGACCCCAAAAAAGTATACCTAATTTTGGGAAACCCTAATCCCTATAATCCCCTATATAATCCCAGTGTCCATTTCATTTTCCATTTTCTTTTCCATTTGATTCTCCATTATAGTAAGTACCCCTAATTTTAGGAAACCCCAAAATGAGGCCGGTTGTATGTTCATCTTCTTAGTCACCCTTCCAAATTGATGATCTAGTCCCTCTCAAGTAGGTAGAATATGGCTTTGAAGCCCTAGGTCCCTTTAAAGGGAGATATAGGGTGATATCTCAAGTATGTAGATAGAATAATCCCCCATTATTCCCCCTATAATGGAGAATCAAATGGAAAAGAGAATGGAAAATGAAATGGAAACTAGGGGAATATAGTCCCCCTTAAGTAGATAGAATATGGCTTTGGGTATATTCTAATAAGATCCCCACATACCCTATATTCTATCTACTGAAGGGGGACTATAGCCTTACGAAGAAACTCCTTCCTACTCCACCTGTGCTTTCCCCTAATCTTCCTTCACGATCACGTGGATTGAACACATACTTGCAGTTGGAAACCAGAGCTCCCTTGAACGATGCTCAAGGAATTAGACAGACCTTCACAAGAGGAGGCCCATTCGGCTTCTATAGGCATATCTAGCGGGGCTTTGGATTTAGCAAATCCGGAACGGAACTGCTAAATGCAATAGACTTAAAATAAGTTCAAGTGCCTTCAATGAGCTATACTGAACCGTATGCGTAAGATGGGACATTTCCAGTAATCCCCTCCCACGAAAATTAAAACCCTACCCCTCAAATATTCAATGTTCTTATTGCTTTTTTTTCTGAAAATATGGGAATAGTTGATACGGGGGTGGGTGGCTTTAAATATCGAAGGAGGGGATTGGTGCCACCTGCCACCTGAATCCTAAACCCTGAACTCATACTTGGAGGGTCTGGGAACTTAGCAAGCAGGTCAAGACTTGCGAATTGGGGTTATTACATGGCGTCTATGGGCTATAAGTATGTTACTGCGACATTCTAGGAATCTGAAGAAACATATTTCTTCATCCCAGTACTGAGCTTGTAAAACCCTACACCTTAAGCCGAAATTTCACAGCTTTTTCCTGCTTCTCAGGTGGCGATCGAGGCAACGCAGACATGTACTCAAGCATTATGACTATCATTACTCGTACTTTTATCGTTGAGAGTTCTTCCGTCAACCGCTGGTATTTCCTATAGAAGAATCGGTATGGTGAGCTGTCAAATCATGGGGTCCAGTTTGGGTCATGATCATTCCAACGGATGCCATGTAAGTTGTAGCTGTTTCACACTTTCTCGGGCATTTGCATTCATCACAGTCCAGGATTTCGGCGATTTGTTATTTCATGTTGAGTAGAGCGGACGGTGGGAAAAAAAACGCCACTTCATACACACCTGGGATGAGGTAGGGAAGGTTTTAACCCTTCACGCAAAACCCTCAAGCATACAAATCCAAAGCTGTTGGATCTTGTTCTTGCTCATAGGCCCTGCCTTTGGCTCCGCTATCTCCAAGAGTCTGGACCTTCATAATCAAAATGGTAGTTTCCCAAAATAGGGGGACCCCAATATAGACCCTAAAAAACTATAATCCTTATTATTGGGACCCCCAAAAGGGTACCCCTACTTTTGGGAAACCCCCAAATAGGGCCTAGGTATATGTTACTGCAATACCAGGAGCTCCCGCCTACATTGTTAGGGCTTTGGGCTAGAAAGTCCCAATGCTTAGTGTTTAGGGTTTAGGGTTCAGGGTTTAGGGTTTAGCCAAAGTCCCAAAGACCGCAGTTTCTAAAGCAGCCGTCTAGGCTCAAAGAGAGCTCAGGCAGACTGGCAACCAGTTTGCTAAATCCACACATGATCCGTTTCCGCATCATCCTGGCATTGCTTCTTGCTGAGAGCCATGTGTAGTTGTGATTAATTGATGGATAGGTAGGTGGTTACAAGTTGTACTAGGGGGTGTAAAAACGGAAACTGAGGTTCCGGGAGGTCCGGCATCATAGATGATCTACATGTTTCTCAAGATCACGGATCCCTTTCGTTAGTTTAACATTCTTTCGTCTAAAAGATCACCTCGAGCTATGGTAGCCGTAGCGAAAACCCAAAATCCTACACCCTCAACCCTAAATCGCGTGTAAGCGATCCACGAACTCCAAACTCTGGCTTGGGAACTGAGCTTCCGAGCTACCTGGTGGGGTATGGGGACTTTGTAAAGGGTTTAGGGTTTAGGGTTTAGATAATTTCAGGCATAACTGGGAATATCATGGGTTGAATGTAGTAGCTGTAGTATACTGAGTGCATCCCACTGACCCTGTAAGTGTTAGGTATTCCCTTCGTGCTAATATGAAACACCCCCCACCCCCACCCCTGGGATTAAAGCCACTAGCGACCTCATCTATTGGGGGAGGCATATTTTATTTTAGGGGTGGGATATTTGATGATAGCGTGAATGGATCAATAAGATCATCATTAGACTTCTTTGGTCCGAACCTGCCAGGGCCCCACTTTCCTTCTTCCTGGTGCCTAACAGGGAGTGGCGTTTAGAGCTTCGGACATATAGTCCCCCGCCCTTAAGTAGATAGAATATGGCGTTATCCCCATATACCCCATATTCTATCTACTTAAGGGGGACTATACAAGTTTAGGGGAGTGGGCTTGTGTACATAGACCCCGGCCTGTGAGGTTTTAGAGCCTGATTTTGACCTGGATTTTGCCATCGGGGTTATATTGGGGTTATATGGGGATAATGAAAAAGAAAATGGAAACTATTATATTATCTTGGGGTTATATTGGGGCTATAGAGGATGAGTTCATGGAAGTCAGAAAAAACCCCAAGCAAGAGGTGAATTTTTGAGCCAGCCGTGCTGGCATGAAACCTCAGCTACGCCTGTTCTCAAAGGGTCCTCCGTTACACCCCACCAAACACCATTTGCATGAGCCCCAAAATTGTGGCGTGTTCAGGGTGCGGGTACTGCAGGATCATATTCCGTTGACAAATACGCGAAACAGAACATGAGTAGCATCGTGTCATATGTACCCTTGAGGAAGACTAGCTTTCGCATCAGCTTGAAGATGGAAGATTTTTTTCTCAAACCCCATTAATTTTTTGCCTATCACGAATAAAAGGGGTGACAGTACTATTGGGGGGGATGCTTTATTGTCGGGTTAATGTGAGATTTCAAAACGGCTCATGCTTGTTGGCAATGAGCGGCACAACATCTTTGAACCGTTTTTGCACGTGCTCAAGACAATAGAAGGCTGCTTGTACAACATTTACCTAAAAACCCAAACCTTAAATGATAGTTTCCGTTTTCTTTTCCGTTATCCCTATACAAGCTTATAGCACCCGATATTATCACAACATTGCCCCAACATTCAGCGGGCGCGGTGTATTCCGAATCCCTCAATTCTACGCCTCCAACAAATCCCCAAACCTTAAGCCCCCAACCTCTAAACCCTATAGATCCTCACACACCATAATGCAGACCCCTATTTGATAAACCCCCTCCTTTCAAGAGGGATTATAATAGGAATTCCTAATATTATGGCCCTTCAAAGGAGGGGGTGTATTAATCATAGGTCTAGATTAATATGGATATATAGGAGTTAGGATTAAGGATGTAGGATTTAGGGCTCAAGCTACCATAATGGATCCCCACAAATGCTGTATGTGGGGTTGTCGAAGCTATATAATCCTTGTACAGCCCTTACCTATACCCTTTTGCCTGGGCGGCTCTTAGGGAACTTGGATTCAGTTACTGCCATAAGGAAACCCTGTTATTCACTACATATTCATTTTATGGTAACTTAACTTTAAGGTTAGCAGTTAGACATGTACCTCTCCCAAATGCACACCCCCCCCCCTCCCCCCCCAAAAAAAAGAACCTTATTAGGCCTTATTAAGCTCCATATAGCCCTTATTAGCTCCTTAAACCCTGGGGGGGGTAGATTTGGGGGGTTGTATTGTAATTCCTAATAAGGTCAGTTCCTTAACAGCAACCCGATGACATGGCCCTTTGAGTCATGGCTGAGGCTTGCTCAGAGCATAGCTGTCCGCCAGATGAGGTTCCGAGCTCAGCTTTATTGGCTCCGTGGGGGGGAGGGCTTCAAACCGGGGCTTACGGGTTTAGGGTTTAGGGGGTTGGGGCTTAAGGGTTTTTAGGGGATTCGGGTTCAAGGCTTTAGGGGATTGGGGTTTAAGGGTTTAGGGGGTTAGGGTTTAAGGGTTTAGGGGCTCAAGGGTTTAGGAGGTCAGGGCTTAGGGGGTTTAGGGGTTAACGGTGTAGGGGTTGAGGGTTTTTAGGGTTTAGGATGTAGTTTTTAGGGTTTAGGTCTTTGGGCATAGGACAAGCTTCATGTATAGAAAGCATGGTTGTTCAGGGAGATACTGGGGGTTCGGGCTGTGGCTCATACGGGCCCATGGTCCATCGATTCTTGGGGCTGAGCTTACCAAAAGCCTCTTACAAGCCCTGGGCCCTAAACCGTATGCAACTCGGGTTTGGGGTTCAGGGTATATAACCTTGAGATATATATATATCTATCTATCTATCTATCTATCTATGTCTCTCTCTCTCTCTCCCTCCTTGTGTTTTTCCGGAGTCCTTTAATCAAGATTGGGACACATTTGCATCGCAGTAGGCCGGCTACGTAGGGAAATATCCACGTAGCATCGTGTTGGGGAAACTCATTCTCAGGAGAGTGAACGGCTATATAGGGACCCCAAATTCACGGACAATACTACTGTTGATGCAAAAATCCTGCATGGCCTTAGAAAACTATAGTACAATGATCCCCAAGGTTTAGGGTACATAGGGTCATGCAGGATTCTAAGTATGCACCGTATTGGCCCATGTTTCCAAACTTGAGACATGGAGAACATGCGGTGACCTTTTCCGCAAGGTGACCTTTTCGTTCTAGCTATTCAGAATCTTTACCCTTCCTATGAGACATCTTACACAAGTCGGTGTCATACAGCAAGGAGACCAGGATGCTAGACATTTTCAGGACGTCCACTAGAGATCCAGAAAAAGGGTTCTTTCGCGTCCACGAGGCAACACTATCATCCCTGGTTATTCTCGAGCTCCTTCCCTACAACCCCCGTGCGCTCTAAACACTCCATATATCTTCTTTCTGGCCAAAACGGACTTTAAAAATACTCTTGTTTTGACAACCGCCATATCTGTACCCGTAAGACCCGTTTGACCTTCCTCGAAGGCTGGCGGATGGGACGATAAGCACCGAAGAAGCCGGATGCTGGAGTCTTTCCAGGATACTCAGAGGGAGGCTGCTTTTCTTTAGTACTACCACGAAATTAATCATAATCTCAACACACACGCCAGAATCCTCCTGAAGCTGGGTATGGGAAAACCTAAGCTACAACCAAGTAATTCTGATAAACTCTAGCAGCTACCACTGTAGATAGCACTAGCATTCGCAACATATCCACATTGTTCTCTGAGGAGACAGGGCTTTGAAACAAGGTTTAGCAGAGCGACAGGCATTGGCAATTCAACGTTTCTGGGCAACCTGATCATATCTCGTTAATGGGTTTGCTGTTGCTTTTGATACCCTAAACCCTACACCCTGCAGCAGGTGTGCCACCTAAATAAGGATTTGAACGTCCATCCTGTTTGATAGAGGTTAATTGGCACAGCGGGCGAAAGGGCAAGATGGTTGAGTTTCAGGAAAGTTTCTGGATTCCTCAGGCAGGTCTCTTCCATAAGCTTGTTGTCACGATCAGGGCCTAGGTTCCGCATCTTTGCCCTTCCAGAGTGATGCACAGAATGGGTCATGGCCATGTTATCGTTTTGGTTGTAGTACTGTAGTCTATAATCTTACTTGGTTCAAGCACCCACGAAACACCCCTCACCTGTGGCCAAGAAAGGAAATGCTGCCGCAGAGCCAAATGCGACGGCGGAAAATACTTGACTTTTGGAGGCAAGAATGCCATCTTCGACAAGTGCAGAATACATCCGGGCAAGTGGAAAGAAGATGGAAGCGGGCTCTGCTTCAGGAACTTGTTCACTTTTTCCTTTCTCATGCTTGCTCTGATTGATTCTTCAAATGAAAGAGACCAAGGACACGTCGTGAAGCCTGAGCACACATCAGCAAGGTTTTCCCTGGACCCCGGCGAGCACATGTGCCGTGAGACCTGCCAGGTTCTTACCGTGGCTGAAGACGGATCCTGGGCCAGTTTAGGGTTTGGGGGTTTAGGGTTTAGGGTTGATTCAGGTGTTAGAGTTTAGGGCTATTACGGGACTAGACGAAACTGGATTGGCATAGATATTATGTCGCATATTTTGCAGTGATACTCTAGCCCCCGATACAAAGTAAGATTACGTCCATCTTTGGGTATAGTATTTCGAAGAAAGTTTCAAGAAAGGGTTTTATGAAAATGCTGCGCATAAGGATAACTCCCAGAACAGTCTTGCAAATTGATGTTCCAGTTTTGGTGACCTATTGGTAGCCCTAGAGACTAGGTTCCGTAACCTAGGTGGTATCAAAACATGGTCTGGATTTAGGGTTTCGGGCTTAATGTGGACCCATGATTAATGAACCCCCTCCTTTTGAAAGCCTAAACATTAGGATCCCTATTATAATCCCTATTAAGGGGAAGGGGTTTGTTACTCAGGGTGTCTGGGTTAGGGAGTATGGGCCGCTAACCCTGGGATCCTTATATACCTACTTTTCTACCCCATATGTACCCTTAAAGGTCCTAGAATCCGCCTCAAAGGCCGAAGGGCCCATATTAGGGGCCCATACTTCTAACCTTATAAAGGGTTCACGATGGGTACTGCCTCCCCTCAGTAACAGTTGGATGCTAATTATAATACAGTTATATATCGCCCTTAATAGGACCCCTAATGTAGACTGTTACTGGGGGGGGGCAGTACCCAAGGTTCACGGAACAACCAAGGGACAAGGAGATGGGAGAACAGCACTGTATACCGAACAGGCGGCGTGGAGAAGCCGCAATGTGTCTTTGGCTATATCTGGGTTGATGCAGTCGCTTCTCTATGACCGCGCACAGACTGCAAAACAAGCCGTGAACCCTAAACCCCTAAACCCTAAACCCCTAAACCCTTAAACCCCTAACCCCTAAACCCCCAAACCCTTTGTGTAGCTTGGGTCAGGCCGCTCAACAAGAGTAAAGAGTCGAGGCTTTGGGCTTACTATCCGACCCCTAAAACTTAAGAAATCAAATTGGGGAACCTAATGAGTGGTTTTGGGTTGCGGGTCAATGAGTGTCTGGCTGATTCCGCATCCTGAAAGTAGGTGAAGTAATAACCAGAAAGCGACCCAAAATGGTTAAGAAGGCAATTGTTCCACATTCTTTACATGCCAGGGCTTGCTTATGTCTATGGGGACGTCCTAGTATCCCCCTTAATAACCCTTCTAGCAGTCCGCTATATAATCCCGTATATGACCCCGTTTAAGGACTTTAGACTACGGCTCATATAGGGTTTATGGCTTCCCAAAATAGAACCTTCCCAGGGCTTGCTCATGTTTAGGTTGTCCCTCATCTGACGGCAAGTAGAGGTTTATGGTTTAGGGTTACAGAGTTCGGGTGTGCCAAGGAGACTTGCTGGCTGAAAGTAGGGAATGACGGAGTGGAAAAGAAGATGGGAATTATTGCACCATTTCGGATTATATGAGCTATAGTCTAAACTCCTTAAAGGGGGTTATATAGGGAATTATATAGGGGACTACTATGGGGGATATTAAGGGGGATACTACGAGTGTAGACTATGGCTCATATAGGGGCTACTATAGGGATCCATTCTTCCGTTCCCTGCTAAGAACCAAGAAGTAAAGCAGCACTTTGCCGCGGCGAGTAAGAGCAAGGAACGGAACTGCTTAAGGGGGTAGTGGTTGACAGTATTTTCTGGGCAATGTGAAGCGACCTCACCCAACCTCACCCTAAATAGTGATTTAGATAGGGAATAGTACCAGCCTGAAATTGGGAATTGAAATTATTCTAAGTTGCCCTGTATTATAGGGGCTTTGTTGGGATTGTTACTACAACTATGGATCATGTCAAGGGGGATGAAAAGGATTGTTTTGTTACAGGATGCAGGACCTATTTAAGAGGGTTTATTGGGATGAGCGTAGGGAAAGACTCTCCCAGCCCAGCTTTTGCACTAGGGCTTCGGGAAGTTTAGGGTCCAGAGCTTAGGGTTCCAGATTCTGCTCAAGAAGTTTCGGGTTTGGGGTTTAGGATGCCAGTAAAGCGACTTTACAGGGAGTGTTACAGTTTATAGCTATCATTACATTGATTTTTTAGATCACAGATTCTGCTCAGCCTGCTGAAGACGTGGGTAGTACTTGGAGAGGTTATTATGTGGCTTATAGGGTTCATAGTACAATTATTCAATCTCCCTGACCCGCCAAGTAGGCACACTAAAAGAAACGTGCTAAGCTCATTTGATAGTTTTCCAAAATAGGGGGACCCCAATATCTACCCCCAAATACTATGATCCTAGGTACGCCTAATTGTGGAAAGCCCTAAAAACCCTAAATCCTAAACCCTATGTACCCCTACATCCCCCTTTAAAGGTACCCCTGATTTGGGAAACCCCCATTTCACTCTAACTGGGAGTCCCATGAATTCTGCGCTGTCAAAACCCGAAAAACTTGTCACCCGGAAAACGGATCTCCAGGAAGTGAGCTATAGTCTGAACTCCCTAAAGGGGGCTTATACAGGGGATTATATAGAGGAGTATTAGAGGGGTTATTAAGGGGGAAAGTAGGAATTTAGACTATAGTTCATATGTCACACCCGGGCTTGCAGCCATATCCTTGAAAGGTACATCCATAGAGGGCCTTGTTGTAGTGGTACATGCTCTTCTTTCCCAGGGCATAGGTACCACTTCAGCTCAAGCATCGTACTTGTCACCTGAAACTACCTGCCAAACCCCAAAGCCATAAGTCCTGATTTCGACGGTTACATCGAGACATGTCTTGAACCACTAAACCCTAAAATGGTAGCTTTCTCAAGCAGACAACCCATTGTCCTTGAGATGATTGAGTCTTCGTTGTTTGATTATGCTAGGGTCTAGGAGGTTTAGGGTTCTGGGGTTTAGATTTAGGTTTTTGTCTACTGAATCTTCATGACGCCCATCATTGAAGCTCCCCAAGCACAGTCCCCAGATGTCTTCCTAATCGCGATGAGACCCCATGTAGGCCCCCGCACGCACAATCTATACAGTTCCTGCACATGATGACTAGAAGATCCCCACAAAGTCCCATGTACCTATGAGATCCCGGCATTCTCTTCTGTGGCAGGGGAGCCTTATGGGCCTGTTGAATCCATACATGCTCACTTTGACGCAAGGTGGAACCCATGATAGTGTGAGGTAAGCTGTATACTATAGAGTCGGTGAGGATGCACAAGGAATGCTACTGACTGTGTACATGGGGTGTCCTGTAGGGGAATGAGGAATTTTGAGTAATGCAGACCCTTGATGAATAAACCCATCCGTTTAAGGCCTTAATATTAGGATCCCTATTATAATGCCCATGAAGCGGAGGGGGTGATTAATTAGGGGTCTACATTAAGAGCCAGACTGCTTACACTCTATTTGATCCCTCCAAAGCCCTGGCGTTACCACTTCGCCTGGTAGGGGCACCCTGCGAACCTGTCCTTAAACTCTCACCCAGAATCTACACCTTAAACTTACACCAAGCCCTAATGCTTGATCCAGAAGCCCGAATCCCTACGTTTCAAGCCCTCAGCCTCAAATCCCAGTCCCTAAAGTTTTGTCCTTGGACCCTGAACCCTCATCCCTCAACTCTAAATCCTTTGAAAAGCCTTGCCCAATACTCGTAGTCATAAAACCATTAGACTACTGACAGTAGTAGTAATCATCGTCACAGCGTCAGTGATAACAGTAGTAGTTATGAGATCAACGAATAGCAAAAGGATGCGTAGCAGTAGTATCAATACTGAGAGTTCCCACTTTCAACGCCAAATCCTAAACCCCAAACCCCAACACCTAAACCTTAAATCCTACACCAAAAATCCTAGGCCCCAAGCCCTAAACCTTAAATCCTACACCCTGAGCCCTACACCCTATATCCTAAATCCTACACCCTGAACCCTACACCCTAAACCCTAAATCTTACAACCTGAGGCCTACACCCTAAGCCCTAAACCCTAAATCCTACACCCTAAATAGTCGTTTCCATGTGATTTTCCATTATCACACTGTAATGGGGAATGACGCAATGTAGCCCTAATCTAACCCAATCCTAAACCCCTAAATTCTAAACCCCTAAAGCCCTAAACCCTGAATGCCCTAAACCCTGAATCCTAAACCCTAAAGCCCTAAACCCCTAAACCCTAAATTCTAGACCCTAAACCCTAAACCCTGAATCCTAAACCCTAAAGCCCTAAACCCTAAACCCCTAAACCCTAAGTTCTAAACCCTAAATCCTAAACCCCTAAACCTATATCCTAAACCCT